TCAGTTTAAATATAAGTATTAATCAGAGATGAACTTATTCCTTGGGTTCACATTTAAACTGTGGCATGTTGAAATAATCTAAGTCTCCGTCTGCACATCTGAATTCATTTTGTAAAATATGGCAAACAGCTGCATTTCAATTGAAAGCTAAAACAACTGTAGGACATTAACCCATTGAGAAGATTACAGTAGGTTTTCAGTTCCATGTTAACTGTATTTATTAGAGAAAATTGACTTGAGTGCTTCTGCTTTTAACCGACATTTTTTTTTTTTTTTTTTTAAATGTCTGGGAGAAAGGAAATAAAACACTGGAATGATAGGACTTTGATGTGTAAAGAAGTTAATGTTGAAAGAAGTTAATTATCTAAATCATCAAACAAAATGGGAATGGGAAATAATTATTTTAAAGATTCTAATAAGCTATCAACTCATCATGTCAAGAAAAATCTTATTCACCTGTTTGATTTAAAAATTAAATAACTTGACTGTGAAAGGATGATCGTGGTTATAATAAACTAGGATTGGGACCTTTTACCTCTTACCAATAAATACTCTTGATGTGAAACATTTGCAGTAGAAGGACAACTGAAGAAAAGCTGTGGTTTTAATATGAATTTACTTTCTGAAATGTCTCCTCTTTAGGAAGTGTTAAAGCAGGGTGACTGGATTTGTAAAATGAAAAAAGGGCAGATTCCTCTAACAATATCTCAGGACATTTGGCCACAGGAAAATCAGAATGGCATGTCTTCAAATCCAACATGAATGAACTAAGTCATAACTGTTTTTGGAGCCTGGCGTTAATACACAGTCTTTGAGTTTAACTTTCTCTGTAGGATATTATACCTCTCTGTCAGTCTTCTGTTGGGATAATAAAGGAAACATTTCCTAAGGTCTTTGAGGAAGCCAGGTTCCTTTGTTAGCACTTTGTCTTGATTCTTCAGGACTGTTCCTGGAAGTTCTTGGTTTCCTGTCTATTTTCCCCAATCTTTGGTTGGTGATGGGATTTTTTTTAATTTAAAGCCGAGTTTCAAGTGGTGATTCTTCTTTTCCTATATTATTTGTAGAAAATTACTTATTCCAAAAGGCTTTTTGAAAAAAAATAGAGCAAATTTAGACTTAAAAAAGCTGATGATGTTTCATAGCATTAGCTTCTTTCTTTGGTTTAGAATTTTGGTTTTCAGGTTCATTTTGAGTGAAACTTTTTTCCTTCTCTTTCTCTGCTCTTGCATTCTCTGTCTGGTGGTTTTGGCCTGGCCCTTATGGCCCTTGGACTAGGCTAGGGCTTATGTTGGCAGATAGCTGGTTCTGCCACAGAAGGTTATTTCAGATATTTCCCATCTAGCTACTCAGCTAGTGTGCTCTTGTTGTAGATATCAGTCTTATTGCCTTCTCAAAAGCTTTATATATGGCCTATCTAGGCAGGGCAGTGATTGGTAGTAGGTTTCTCTTTCTCCCCCCCCTCCCCCCCCCCCCCCCCCCCGCCACCTTTCATATTGGTAAGAGGTAAAAGGTCCCAATCCTAGTTTATCATAACCACAATAATCCTTCCATCCCAGCTCTTGGTGAATGGCCCTGGTTCAGGTTTCCTTTATCAATTTTAGCCAACCTTACCCATAGAAGTGGTCATATTAGAGGATGTATTAGGAGATAAATTTGGCAGCAATGTGGAGAATGAATTGAGATGGAAAGAGAGAAGCTATAAATAGAGCTTATAAAGGGCCATAGGTAGAAAAAGCGAGGGAGACTGTAAGAACATGAAGTAGATTTTTTGACCTCTTAAGAACATAAAGTGAACTTTATTTGGCTTTCAATGGATTATAGGGTGCTGGAGAAAGGTCAAAGATAAATGACAAATTTTTGAGATAGGGTGACCGGTAACAGTGGTGATGTCTGTATTGAAAACGTAACTTATAAAGAAATTACTTATTATTTGTTGAAATGCATTAAGGTCTGTCAGTGAAAATATTCAAGTTTCTTAAATTTTTGTGATTATGAAATGAGAATAATCTAAATTTGTCATAAAAAAAGCTGTTAGCAAATCAAGAAAGAGACTTCTTAAGATTGTTCTATTTATAACAAAGCAAACATTGTGTGCTTAAAACTGCTGTAAACATATTAATTCATTTAATCTTCACAACACTAAGAGGGTGAAATTATTCCTATTTTACAAATGAGGAAACTGAAGCACAGGGAAGTTAAGTAAATTGCCTAAAATACTAGCAAAGTATTAAAGCTGGGATTCAAACCTGAGCAGTCTGACTCCGGATTCTTCCTAATTAGTTTACTATAGTTAAAGTTCTTAGCATTGCTTTATTTTGTCATTTGTTCTAAATGTAATTCTTCTTTAGAATTTGCAAAGTATCTTTATTTTTAAGAAAGTTACAGTATTGCAAGATTTTATGACCATGAATTAATAGCTAACATTTATTGAACACTTACTGTGTAATAAGGTTTTTATCTACTTAGATTATTTTAATGCTATTTTTATTAACCATTGGTTATGGGACAGTTACATTAAATAAAATACTTTATCTAATAAAAAAGTAATATGCAAATTGACCATACCTCCACTACTCCCACAAGCCACACTCACCAGCCAGTCAGGAGTGAGTATGCAAATTAACCCAACAAGATGGCTGCAGCCATGGAGCAAACAGGAGGCTTGGGTTTCCCTGGTAATGAAGGAAGTCAAGCTTTCTGTACACCCTGGCCAGCCTAGGCCTCCTCTCAAGGCTACAAAGTTTTAATTATAGAAGATAAATAAATCCCAACAAAAATGTCCACAGCCACAGAGCTGGAAAGAGCAAGAGGCTTGAGTTTCCCCTGGCGATTGAGGAAGCCAAGATTTCTGCATATCCTGGCTTGCTTAGACCTCCACTCAAGGCTACAAAGTCTCAATTGAAGAAGATAAATAAATCCCAGATACCAGGGCCTCCGCGTGGGTCGCAGGGGGATGTGGCCAGCCTGCAAACCACCACAGGCCCCTCTCTCAGGCTGCCCCATGTCCTAAGGGAACCCACACCCTGATCTGGGACACCCTTCAGGGCAAACCAGCTGGCCCCCACCCATGCACCAGGCCTCTGAGATTCTATCTAATAAAAGAGTAATATGCAGGTTAATTGTCACTCCAACACACAAGATTGCTGCCCCCATGTGGACACAAGATGGCCAGCAAGGGAGGGCAGTTGGGAGGGACCAGGTCTGCAAGGAAGGGCAGTTGAGGGCTATCAAGCCTGCAGGGTAGGGCAGTTAGGGGTAACCAGGCCTGCAGGGGAGGTCACTTAGGGGCAAACAGGTTGACAGGGGAGCAGTTAGACATCAATCAGGCTGGCAGAGGAGTGGTTAGGGGGTGATCAGGCTGGCAGACAGAAGTGGTTAGGGGCAATCAGGAAGGCAAGCAGGTGAGCAGTTGGGAGCCAGCAGTCCTGGATTGGAGAGGGTGCAGGCTGGGCTGGGGGACACACACCCCCAGCACCAGGTCTCTAGTGGAATATATTAGGATTCGCATCTAGTTTTCTCATTAGCGTCAGCTTAATTTTATTGGGAAAAAAATTACACAATTTAAAATTGATGAGTTACTTAACTATCTATCATCTATCTATCTATCTATCTATCTATCTATTTACCTATAAATCTATAAAAGCCTAAGTGACCGAATACCAGTTGCTGTGATGTTCACTGATCACCAGGGGGCAGACGCTGAATGCAGGAGCTGCCCCCTGATGGTCATTGCACTCCCACAGCCAACCTCCCATGGCTGGCCAACCTCCTATGGTACCTCCCCCTGGCCAGCTGGCCCCAATCAGCCCAATAGGGACTGGGTAAGATGGCCCTGATCAACCCTGATCTCTGGCCAGGCTGAGGGTCCCTACCCATGCACAAGTTCTTGCACTGGGCCTCTAGTCTATATATAAAGCTTAAGTGACAGAATGACTGTTCAACCAGTCATTATGATTCACACTGACCACCAGGGGGCAGGCGTTCAATGCAGGAGCTGTCCCCTGGTGGTCAGTGCACTCCCACAGCCAACCTCCTAAGGCTGGCCAACCTCCTGTGGCCCCTCCCCCTGGCCAGCTGGCCCCAATCGGCCTTAATTGCTGGCCAGGTTTAGGAACTCCATTCTAGTAAGATTATAAAATATCACAGTGCTTACTTCTGATCTGATTGACTTTATATTATTTGTATTAAGGCTTTGGTTCGTATAGGGATTGTGCTGTGATTTTCTAAGTTTATATCTTACAGTTGTGCAATTTTTTTCTTTAAATGAAATCTCACTTGGAATGTTATTTATATATTGAGTTGTTCTGGTGGTTCTGGATGAGGTATATGCTTGGTATATGGGTGAGGGCCACTCGGAGCTCCGTGAAATAGTGCCAGTGAGTCTTAGGGCTCCCTGGAACACATTTTGAAAACCACTGAGCTCTATTAAAATATTTTAATGACTATTTTTCTTCCATTACTTATTATAAAATATGTACTGAAATGTTTTATCACTCAAGGGAGTAATTTTTTATATCATACATGACTAAGCAGTTTTTCCCCAATTGTGACCTCCTGGTTCATGGGTTGATGCTCAACCACTGAGCGACACTGGCTGGGCTTACTATTTCATTTTAATAAAGAACATTAAGTATAAAAAATTAGATTTACATACAAAAATTAGAAATTTAAAATTTTATATTCTTTTAAAAAATATATATTTTATTGATTTTAGAGAAGAAGGGAAAGGCAGAGAGAGATATAAGCATCAATGATGAGAGAGAATCATTGATTGGCTGCCTCCTCCACGCCCCCTACTGGGGGTTGAGCCCACAACCCAGGCATATGCCCTTAATTGGAATCGAACCTGGGACCCTTCAGTCTGCAGGCCGATGCTCTATCCATTGAGCCAAACCAGCTAGGGCTTTCTATACTCTTTGATGTAATTTACAATTGCTTTTGTTTTCCTTGCATTTATTTATAATTAAATACATTTTGTGTTATTTATCTTTTCTATTTAGATGAATAATACTGCAGCCAGCCCAATGTCTACTGCAACTTCAAGTAGTGGAAGAAGTACAGGAAAGTCTACAAGCTTTGCCTCAGAATTGCAGAGCATGCTGTAAGTATGTCTCTGCATATTACTTATTACTATGTTAACTTATTCATGTTGATAAAAAGACAATAGAAATAACATTTATAAAACTTAACTGGGAAACTTGTACTTAAATAAAAATGAAATTGTTTGATAACATTTTCAATAGCAGTATGCAGACAAAAGAGGCAACATTAGTTAAGAATGCTACAATTGTACTGTATTAAGAAAATAAGTATTGGTTTATATGTATAAAAGAATGAACATTTATGTAAATATTTTTGCTCTAATTGTTATAAATTATTTATTCCTATTTTCGATTTAGAAAATTATGATGTAGATTATATTCTAGCATAGTTGCAGTATTTTCACAGAGTTCTTAGTTATTCTCAAATTCACAATAATTATGTTTGCCTAATATAATTTACTTTTTAGTTTTGATAATATTTGAAATCACTGTATTTCAGAAGATTGAGAAAAAACTGAGAATATTTTAAAAACACACTCAGTTTTTGAAAAGTTGCACAGTCATTAAGATTTCTTTCCTAAGACTCTTCTCAGCTTGATTTCTGGCTTCCTGCACTGAGTGAGAATGCATATCTTGATTTAAATCATATTTATTGGAAATGTCAGTTGGCACATGTTAGTTTTTCTTTATTATTGGTTCAGGAGATAATTTTCTGCATAAGGGGACAACACATTAGAGCTCCTCTTTTTCTGACTTGGATGCATTATTCCTGACATGTCCAGCAATTTTAAAAGAATGTTTCTTTTGAAGGTTTAAGTATCTTCCTCTTGTGGGTGTATTGAGAGCTTTCATAATGGATGGACTCCACTGTGTGATATTTATTATTCTAAGAAAAAATGCATTTGAGCATATATCTAATACTTGCTTGGTGAACGTACTTTAAACTACATTGAAAACACTTAGATCACAGGTTATTAAGTTTTTGGTCTCAGGCTCCCTTTATGCTAAGCATCTGTTTATGTGGGTTGTATCTATTGATATTTATTGCCTAGAGTTTAAAACTGAGTAAAAATTATTTAATTCATTTGAAAATTAAACCTATTATATGTATATATATATATTATATATATAATAAATAATATAAGTATGCCCTAAAATCTATAATAATAAAAGCATAATATGCTAATTAAATCAGACATCCAGACGATCTTCCGGACGAAGCCAGGGCTACGGGGGCTGATCCCCTTGCACAAATTTTGTGCATTGGGCCTCTAGTAATTATATTAAAAAACTAGAGATTAGCCGAAACCGGTTTGGCTCGGTGGATAGAGCATCGGCCTGCGGACTGAAAGGTCCCGGGTTCAATTCCGGTCAAGGGCATGTACCTTGGTTGCAGGCACATCCCCAGTAGGGGGTGTGCATGAGGCAGCTGATCGATGTTTCTAACTCTCTACCTCTCTCCCTTCCTCTCTGTAAAAAAAACAAAACAAAACAAAAAAAAAACCTAGAGTTTGGAAACACATTTTGTTAGATGATACGAGATGAGAATAAAATAAATGTACTAATTTAGGAGTTGTATAAGGTGAGTCAGTTTGTTTTATTTTTAATTTACTGATTTTAGAGAGGAGAAAGACAGAGAAGAGAGAGAGAGAAAGAGAGAGAGAGAGTATGAGAGAGAGAGAAACATTGATTTGTTGTTCCACCTATTTATGTAGTCATTGTTTGATTTTTGTATGTACCCTGACCAGAGTTTGAACATATAACCTTGGAATATTGGGACAATGCTCTAGCCAACTGAGCTATCTGGCGTTATGTTTTAAATTATGGAAAATGTTAAGGGTTTATGCTTTATACACTTTCAGTAAACTACCCTGTTTCCCCGAAATAAGACAGTGTCATATATTAATTTTTTCTCCCAAAGTTGCGCTAAGTCTTATTTTCAGGGGATGTCTTATATTTCCATGCGCTAGGTCTTATTTTTGAAGGATGTCTTATTTTCTGGGAAACACGGCAGTATACAGTTTATTAGTTTTAAGTTTTTTCATTATGGTTTAGTAGCTTTATGTTATGAATCTTTTATGTTTCCCTAGCCAATTTTGCTCAGTGGATAGAACATCGGCTTGAGGACCAAAAGGTCCCAGGTTCAATTCCAGCCAACGTCATGTACTTTGGTTGCAGGTTCCTCTCTGGCTTGTCCTGGTCAGGGCTTGTGCAGGAGGCAACCAATCGATGTGTTTCTCTCACATTGAAAAACATCAAATATGTTAACTAGGTTAATAGTAAAGTGGGGAAATTCATTTTCCTATAGAGAGCCAGTCCACCAATTTACTTTGTGTTTTAAAACATATTACATATAATCTATATATATTAAAGGCTAATATGCTTAGTGTTCATCTGGGTAATGACATCATGTAGCAACAACACCTGGCTTCCTCTCCCTAGCAACAACTAGCCTCCTTGCAGTTTCTTCAGCCCAGGAACAGGACTTACTTTATAGATAGGTGGAAACATTTCACACTGTAACCATATATCTGTGAATTGTTTTCTTATGCCTCACAGAAGTCCTGGAGTAGGTAGATAGGAGACTTGGTGGAATCCTATTTTCTTTTCATTAGCTAGAAAATGGAAATTTAGAAAGCTTAGAAACTTGACCCAACTGAAATGATGGACCTTGAAAATAACTTCAGGCTTTCTCAATGTGAAGAATATAATTAAACACTGCTGCAGTTAAATATTCTGTATATATAAAAGGCTAAGTTGACTCATGTATGCATGATACATATAAAGCTCTCACTGGCACCAATCACATGCGTGTGTTTTGATCTGTCATTGTCAATCATGAAGTTGGCTGACACTTCTATTATAGAGAAAGCGTGAATAGCAATATTAAACTATTTATTCCAATTAATTTCCTTTCAATGTGCATGAATTTGTGCACCGGGTCACTAGTATATATTATAGAGAAGAATATAGTGAACCCCACGCATCCATCATCTGGCTTTAACAGCAACTGTGTTTTACCAGTCTTATTTAACCTTTTTTCCTACTCTCCTCTTGTTTTTAATTCAACAGTTTAAAGCAAATCACAGACATCATATTTTAAATTTGGTGGTATTTATTAAAGCAATATATTTATTGGTAGGTAATTAATATACTCTATAGCAGTGATCAACAAACTAGGTCCATGAGCCCATAGACTGGCTGCCTGTTTTTGAAAATAAGGTTTTTACTCGCTTATCTATTATCTATCTCTGCCTTCATGCTTCATGGCAGAATTGAGTATTTGTGATAGAGACCACATGGCGAATAAAGCTGAAAGTATTTACTATCTGGACCTTTACAGAAAAAGTTTGATGACCCTTCACCTGTAGAAACTGGTCTCTATAATAAGAAAACTTTTTTTCCCCTTTTATCATTTATACTTAGAAGAGGTTCTGCTTAATGTATTTAATAGACTGCATGCCACTTAAAAAAATGAGAAAAAAAAAAAAAAGCTAAATTCAGCACTTTCTTATTAAATACTTTTGCAAACATCTTCCCTACTAATGTGCTTAAGCTGGATTCAGAATGCAAAAGTTATTGTTGGCTACAGCTTTGGAAGAAATATATATTTTCCTTCTATTTCAGACCTCATAGAGAGGCTACTCCTAATAGTTACATTCATCATTTATAGTCTGAAGTTATTTTTTTCCCCTTATGAATTGCTTCATAGAGCAAAAAAGGTAGGGCCAAAATTAGAGGAATATTTTTTAATTTATCAATATTTTCTATTTGTATAAAGTTTTCAGGCTTTTGTTATATAAACTTAGCATCAATATATGTTTGATCCTTGCTTATGTGATTTCAAATGAGAAAGTGTAGGCTTACATCTCTGTGTTTATTTTGTGTTGTAGGAATTTAATTCCATAAAGCCTTACATTTTTTTAACTTTTTTTATTTTTTTCTGCAGTTTCACAGTTCTCCTAAGTCTGTTTGTGTTGTATTGCTGTTTTCCCATCCCTACTGCTACTGTCTTCTTTACTCGTTAACCACTAATGACCTGTTTTTTCTCTTGGATCCTACCGCTCCAAATAAGTAACATCATTGTAGTGACATTTCCAGGGAATGGTTACAAGTATCTAGTTGTCAAGCACAAATGAAATTGTCATGATTTTCTATTTAATATAACACTGGCTGCCAGTCTGTTCTGCTGTTGGAGCCTAAATAGAATTTTAAGTTTAGGTGGCAAATACTGCCAGTGAAGCATTCTTTAGTTTAGGAAATGCTTCTACTACAGATTTTAAGTTAAAAGATTAGCAGTCAAACAAATGCTAGTGGGTTGGGGATGGCAGCAGCTTACAAGAGAGCATATTTGCTATATGCTACTTATCACAGCTTTTTTTTTCTTTATTGATTAAGGTATTACATATGTGTCCTTATCTCCCCACTGTCCCTCTCACCCCCACCCCTCCACTCATACCCTCACCCCCCTGTTGTCTGTGTCCATTGGTTAGGCTTATATGCATGCATACAAGTCCTTTGGTTGATCTCTCCCTTTACCCCCATCCTCCACTACCTTCCCTCTGAGGTTTGACGGTCTGATAGATGCTTCTTCGTCTCTGGATCTGTTTTTGTTCATCAGTATATGTTGTTCATTATATTCCATAAATAAGTGAGATCATGTGATATTTATCTTTCTCTGACTGGGTTATTTCACTTTGCATAATGCTCTCCAGTTCTATCCATGCTGTTGCAAATGGCAAGAATTCCTTCTTTTTTACTGCAGCATAGTATTCCACTGAGTACATGTACCACAGTTTTTTAATCCACTCATTTGCTGATAAGCACTTAAGCTGTTTCCAAATCTTAGCTATGGTAAATTGTGCCTCATAGGGGTGCATATATCCTTTCTGATTGGTGTTTCTAGTTTCTTGGGATATATTCCTAGAAGTGGGATCACTGGGTCAAATAGGAGTTCCATTTTTAGTTTTTTGAGGAAATTCATGCTGTTCTCCACAATGGCTGCTGCAAAGTAGACACAGCTGGTGAGACAGTTATCACACTTTTTTAATAACGTTGC